ATAGATTCATGGAACTGTGTAGCTTTCTGATGGTAAACAATATTAAAATCAGTTAAAATAGTTCTAGGGATTAAACCGATCAAACGAACAATTTTTTTAAATATTATATAACCCTTTTAACTCCTGGTAAGTTAGAATTTCAAAAAATCTTTTCTTAGTGGGTGTTTACACCATGAAACAAAACTACTGTCCAAATTTCATACTCATAGCTTCAGTGGTTTCGGTAGGCGATGATGAATCACCCAAGACAAGTAATTTTATATACATATTCTTATATTATTTTTATTCTATATATATATATGTATTATTGAACTAAATTATCAGYAACTATGGTCTTAAGCAATTTGTAGACGGATACAGTTGGTTTTAAAAAATCATATGTATGTGCGGTGAGGATTCGTGTGYCGTGTCTAAATACCCGGGTGATCCTACGTTTGGTAGAAAGCAATATCACAGGACCCTCCATGTACAAAAAAAGGACTTTTTTATGGAAAATTACTTATTATTAATTATTATAATATATTGGCTGGGCCTGTTAAACGGTAATATCCTCGGTTGAAATGTTGTATTAAAAATTKTAATACATTTGTTTTAAACTGGCTTAAATTTTTTTTAAAGTTCAATTAATTGTTCTTAATGAGTTTATATTATAAATTAATTAAACAAAAATTAGTTTGCTTAGTCTAAGTATGAAAATAAATGTTGAGTACAAGCAGACCAATTTTACATAGTAATAAACTTCTAAGTTAAAATTAATGTAATATTTATTTTATTCCAACTTTAAATTGAATATAGCATGATTTTAATGYGTTATTAATATACTTTTTACTTACTTCTTCTAATAGTTGTCTAAGTCTTTGTAATTGTGCTTCTAATTGTCTGTTATGATCTTCTAATATTTGCATACGTGCTTCTAAGCGACCTTTATGTTGGCGTAACATTCTTGCTTCAGATACCATATCAACTTCACCATTATTATTGGGCATAACATTGTAAGATCCTTTACTGCCAGTTCCAGTTTTCAATTTTTCATATTCTTCTTGCAAGTGTGTATTTTCATCTTCCAATTCTCTATAATTTGATGTTAGAGAATATTTAATTCTATATTATCCTAATAAATGTAATGGAATACTTASTTTATCATAGTTTCTAACTCATGTCGTTGATCTGCATCAATTGCAACCATTATTTGAACTGGACTTCTTGGTACAGATGGTAAAGTTTCAGACCCACCATTTAATGACTGACAATACTGGGCTATTAAATGATGTTCATCTTCACTAAAAATAACATAAGGTATCACAAAAATCAGCATTTAATTGTGTACAATGCATATTGTAAGATTTAATTTAATTTAATAATAACTTACGAATCAGGGGTAGAATTGCTACGTGCTCTATATTCAACTTCAGCTAAACGTGAAGCATACATTTCTAAACGGTTATGTACATCAGGTATAGTAGAAGGAGTATTAGAATGCTGCGGTGATGGAGATGGACTCTCTAAAGCATCACCTTCTAATACTGATTGAACAGGTAAATATCCAACACGCGGGTGCTTTTTGAAATAACGTTTCGATTTGAATTTATTACGAAGGGCACGGGTGAAATCTCGAACATCTTCTCCGGATGTTGTTGTAGTACAATATTCTTGCATTGGATGAGTAAGTTTATGGTGATTGGCTTTACGACCAGAAAAGAAGCATGATTGACACATATCAAAATTGAAACATTTTAAGCACCGATATCTGAAACCAATTATTGGATATGTTTTGCAAATGTTGCACTTTGCTTGATGTTTTGCTGATTCAGCTTCAGCTAGCCTGTGTAGCACAGCTAGCCATACCATACTCTGTGGTTCTTGTTGTAGCCAAACTAAGAAGTGCATAGCCTAAACCAATGTTTGTTTTAATTTAGTAAATTGTAAATTTAGTAGTATTATGTGCAATTATAGATGTATATGAAATATACTCACTTCAATAACAGATTTATCTTTACCAGCTTTTTGGAAACAACTTCGAACAGATGGTTCAATATTAGATCCACCAAATGATGCTACTTCGCCCAATTGGCGTGGCAATTGAATGCAATCATGCAATAAGAGACCTAATTTGCGTTGATCTACCTGTCTATTTGGATCAGCTATTAATCTGAATAAATAACGGTATTTTTCTTCTAAATGCCCTTTACATAATAATACTAGACCAACTTTAAATGACAATACACGGATTTGACCTGTACGTTGGCTAAGAAAAACAATTTATTAGAATATTATTTGGGGAAGCATTTTAGAATTATAAATGTATCACTTACCTGTCATAAACGTTTAACAGCCAGTTCAAAGATAAGTCAAGGCAGAGTGGAACATGTACTGAAGAAGGATGTTGAGATGMTAGTGTGTCAAAAATAGATCCTAGAATGGTTAACATTTCTGATACAGTTATTAATTTGTCATTTTGAGCACGTAGACCATGGTTATCAAATGATTCTAAGGCAGCTTCGAGAGTCAATAGATCAACTAAACAAAGAAACAAAAATTTTGAAAGACGTTATTTTTTTTATTCTGATAACAATAAACAGTAACACTTACGAGACATGCGTTTTTGGACTGTTCGCAATTTCATAGCAGTTCTGTAGGCAGAGAATCTTACATCATTAAATTCTGACAGCGATGACATTAGTTCTATCATTTTTGGATGGTCCCAATTGGTAGATTCACATTGATGGCTAAATTGAATTAAATTAGTATTATATCGAAAAATAAATTCTGAAAAATACTCACTTAATATAATAAGGAACCTTATTTGGAGTTATTTCACGTTTCCATGGAGGTTCTACTGATCCACTCAACAATAATGAAGTGGATGCATCGCTATGACTAGCAGGTGATGTTCCATTACTATTGTTAATCGTGTTTTTCCCAGTACCACAAATTTGTTTAGACCTATTATCCATTGCTAATTGTAAAATTTTCCATCTAATAAAAAAAAACATATTTATTTAAAATTGTTATTGTACAGATCAGATATTAAATATTACGATTACAAGTTAAATTACCTATTATTTATATCTTGTAACATATTTTTATTGGATACACATATGGATACATTGTTTGATRCAAGTATGCAAGCTTGATCGTTAACTTCTTCCAATAACCGTTGTACAGGATTTAATTTGTCTTCAAATTGCTATAAAAAAAATCAATATAATTATTTGTATATTAGTTTTACTCCGTTGATGTACCCTTAGTTCTTGAAGACCTTTTGTAGAGTCACCAGTGTTTGATGCTTGCCATGATTTATACATAGCCTCAACACTAGCTAATTTTGATGTACAGTCCTCTAAGCTTTTCTGGAACACTTGCATTTTCTAGAAGTAATATAAAAATACAATTATAAGAATACATTAAATCACTATTTGACCTGTTTAGTAAAATGAACAAAATAAATTGATTGGCTATTGGATTTGGCTGCTATACTAGCAACACATGGCTATTGTACAAAAATAGTTTATAACCCAGTTATGAGGACTATGCATAATGTATATTAAATACATACACAAAGGGAGGTATGTAATCTATTTTTATTTGTTTTAAGTGTTTTGATCAATTACTTCATAACATAAATAGGATTAAAATTATTAACATCTATTTGGTATCATAAAAAAATGTATATCTTAGGTAGGAATACAATTTACAATTACAATTACATTATGTATGTATTAAAAATGAGTAATAAGAAACTGTAGCAAAAAACTTGGAGATAAAACAATAATTCAAGTTTGAAAGTTAGATTGGTTCTTMATGAAAAATTATAAAAATAGAGCTTAAACTCCCAATTTGTTGAGAGTACAAATTWATAACAAAATGTTATGTTTTTATTGGAATACTAGCCCTACATGCTAGTATTGGAATATACTTTTACCATAAAAGTTAATTTTGTGATCAAAAAATAATATTGTTGTGACGTTGTGAGACTAAAATGCAAAAAAAAAATTATACCTTAATTGAATCATTTAGGCTTCGTTGCCACTGATCAGAACGTTGAAGTAAAGAGTTCCATTGTTCAGAAACGCGCAAAACTTCACGTTTCAAACTTATTGTTAAATCACGTGCTTGTTCTTCTGCACTACGATATCCTCTAGAATCTCCAGTGTTATTAATTTCTAAATATAAATCAATTTAATTTGATTACATATATATTAAATTTAGATTCATTACTTTATATACTTTAAATAATTATATTATATCCTGAAAATTTAAAAAAAAAAATCAGTTACAAAATATCAACTTTATTTTACAAAATACCTACACTGTCTCAGAGCAGAATACATTCTTACAATAYAAGTTCTGGGAACTTTTTGTGTACCTGAGTTAAAATGTATCTATCTTTCTATTGTTCTTCGTTTTACTTCAGTTAAAATATATGATAATACAAATATACAAAGGGTTGAGATCTGTATACTATTCTTCATTTTTTTTTTTAATTTTTAATTTTTTTTTNNNGAGAGGATTTGGTTTGAAGATCTCCCAATTTCCAACCATGATATTAGTTGTTATATTCTTTAAAACCATTTAATATATTTAATGTGTTTAATTCAGGGCAGTAGGCAATAGGTACTAGTTTAAAAGGATCTAATGTATGCAACGGTTAATTATGTTTAATTCATTTATTTTTTTCAAATTATTTTCAACTCTGAGTCCTATTGTTTTATGATAGTATATAAGTAGTGGAATTATTATATATTTATATAAACTTATAYTAAAAATAAGTAAATTAATACAATAGTATTTATGTGGTAGTGCCTGAACTATCTAAATAATAAAGCAATATTATTATTATTATCTTTTTAATTAATTATTTTATTTCACGGTAATTAGAGTTCACAGACAACAGTCGCGTTCAAATTAATAATCAATATMAATTGCGGTAACCTAATAATGTAAAACCATTTTGTGGCGAGTGTCAGACAAATGCAAGCGCAGTGTAAATCCAACTACAGCAATTATAATAATAATAATAATTTTGGCGAGTGTCAGACAAATGCAAGCGCAGTGTAAATCCAACTACAGCAATTATAATAATAATAATAATTTTGGCGAGTGTCAGACAAATGCAAGCGCAGTGTAAATCCAACTACAGCAATTATAATAATAATAATAATTTACTCTTGAATAAGAATACGTTAAAATAATATGCAGTCTTTAAATTGCTCTGTTTAACCTTCCTATTTAAATCATTACATGCGTGTTTTAATTTTTATCCCACATAAATAGTACCTATACTTGAAATTTGTAAAATGTCAATGGTTTAAAATGTAGGTACTTGCGTATATTTTTGTATAGTATGTACCAAGGTACCGATAGTTTTATGCTTATTATGAAGTTATATGCAGTTGATTAATATATTTTATTTTATCAAATACACTGTTTTATAATTTTTTTTTGTGGGGTGTGCAGAATAATTTTACAATCTATTTTACCTTCCATGATTAGTTTTTAGTTTGCAATTTTCATTTTCAAAAATAGCCGCAAATTACAGATGCCAAGAGCATCTAGCCAGACTCGATCAGTATAATGATGTTCTCAATTTTAATTAGGTAAATGATTAATATTTATATACAATTAAAAACAATTTTCGATTGGAGACAGTCATATTTTTAATAATTATGGTTACCAAACCAGTGCCATAGCTGTGAATTGTTTTTTATAGGGAGGGATATTAAATTTGTTCACTTTAAAATAATTGTTAATAAGTTGAAAACATATTATAAAATCAAAAATGAATATACATTGAGTAAAAGAATAAAAATCATCTTGCGGTGTGGGGGGAAAGTTCCCCTGTCCCCTAGTAAATGCGCCACCGTACCAAACGATGAAATAATAATTAATACTATAACACCATAATACAAACTAGCTTTCAGAATCCTTTTTCAAAAGTCAAAGTATATTTTAGATTCTAAGGAGAGTGACAATGTATTAATTTTTCAATGATTTGAGTTTTTTTATTTATTTTTGCGCCTGAAGACGCTTTGATCAACATCCATGGAGGTTTTTCGTAGTAATTTGTATCTAATAATCGTACTTTGACACGTACTACAGTATAACAGCGAGTGATACCTATTTAGGTTATACATTTTACTTTTAGTTAAAAATTATAATATTTGTATTTATAAAATAATTTAAACATTTAAAGTGTGCAGATTTTTTTGCAAGGTGTGCAACTTTTAGGGAGACTTATGTTTACAATTACAATATTTTACGAATTKTTATATGAAAAACATCGATAATTCTAATAAAAGTCTAAACTATAATCATCATAATATATTTTTATTTATAAAATCTTTATTTCAATTAGCCTATATTGTTATATAATGATATATACAATTATTGTTAAATCATTTATTATTTTTTTAATACTTAGGTAAATCTTTTATTTTATACTTAAATTTTATACTAAAAAAAAAGCGAGCAAGTGGGCAACGCTCTGATGAACATTAGAGATTTAGTGTAGTCACTTACATGAATACGTTAAATTAAAATTCAATGATTTATAATATTTAACCTAACCTTTACAGTTTACTCTAGAAGCCTTAGAAAATAAGAAAATTCTAATTAACAAAATATAAAATCACTCTTTCAACATATTTAACGATTTTATAAGTACCATACAACACTAACATAGTTACCCAGTCACATCGAAATAGAAGGGAACGAAACCATCAACAACTRTCCAAACAAAATGTTTCAACTTATTTACAAAGTTGACCTCAAAAGAGAAGTCAACAATACCATAGCCTACGTATTTCATAAGGAATGTCACTTATTGAGGGATAGCAAATTAAGGGAAATAAAACATACTAAGGATAGATTAACCCACTAAATTTTACCAGAAACAGAATACAAAACCGACATGTCTAAGTTTGACATATTCATAAATATTTCATGGATAAAACAGAGCCCGAACCATGCACTACTACTACTACTACTACTTGTAGTTCTGAAATTTACACCAAACATCTACTATTAGAATGTCGTCGATTTAATGAAGAAATATCAAAATACAACTCTATCTCAACCTATTCGAATCTAAGTAAAATTAGTTGGTATTTTTAGAAATCAAAAGTAAAAAATCTGGTAGTAGCAGCTTTGCTGTATATTATGTGTTAAAAATTTAAAATGGTACATTTAAGTTTATATTCACCGTCATTGATAGACTAGCTATTTGAGCGGCCTTGAGAAATTTTAAATTTTGTGATAATAATAGTCGATAAAAACATTTTCACTAACTAAAAAAGTTTGAAAATTTAATGATGAGGGAATCTCATAAGATTTTTAAGAGTATTCAAAAAATACTAAAGATACGTAAGTACGATTATTTTATTTTAAATGCATTTAAAATTTAAGTTTTGACAGCATTCATAAAAATCCCAAAAAATGCAAATTATTKTTCGGTTAGAAAATCTTAAAAAGCTTTTCATTCTATAACTAACATTAGAAGTTTAAATGGAAGATTCCCACAATTTTTTCTATTTTTAATAAAAAAAAAATCTTCRCCGGAATGTAAGTTTGAATTTAAAATATTTGCAACCAACAATGGATATTAATCGGTAAATTAACGAATTTCTATCTATTGGTTTTTATATTTTGTTTTAACTCAAAAACCAATGATCACTGAACACGAAATGTTGGTTTTAAATAAAAAACTTGAAAATTGAATATCTATAACTATAAGGTTTCGATATAAGTACAAGATGACAATATGATGACAGAAATGGATAGATCGTCTCAACTTAAAATTATTTTTCACATGCTATGATTTATCATTGATTTAAATTTTAACACATATTCATAGTGGTTACTCAATGATAAGGTATACGCGAACCCTAAAGCATTGCAATTTATTTATTTTTATTTACTTAGATATTTTAGTAGTATTTTTTATAACATTATATTCTTACCTTCATTTTTTACGGCAGATGCAATTTGAGACTCATTGTTAATGTATTGACGACCGCTACGTAGGTTAGAATCAATAACTGGTCGCTTCTCTTCCAATTGCCTGCGGAATCCTCTATGATCATCCTATAATGTATTACATTTTTATAATATGTAATACATACTTATTTGTATAATATTTTGTTCTAAAATAAAACATGGATAAATTGTATATACYTGTTGCTTTTGTAGCGTAACCAAATCGTTGCCTAAAGGACCAAAACTTGAAATTTCTGTGTCCTTTTTTATTACCCATTCCACAAGCTCTCTTAGCGACAGTAAAAGAGTATTCCAATGTTCCGTATTATTCTCCAGTCGATTTCTAAAATAAAAATTTAAAAGCATAAAAATATATTATGAATACATGTCATGACCTCATGTGCTTAACATTTTTTATTACCCATTCCACAAGCTCTCTTAGCGACAGTAAAAGAGTATTCCAATGTTCCGTATTATTCTCCAGTCGATTTCTAAAATAAAAATTTAAAAGCATAAAAATATATAAATCATTTATTACATTATAAATTAAATTTTACTAATATCCATATAAATAAATATGTATAAATAATAAATGTTAAGCACATGAGGTCATGACATGTATTCATAATATATACCTCSTATGTACCTAATACGCGTATACGTGAAATGTATATTACCTTTAKGTTAAAAAACTAAAATAAAAATGGATTACTCTTTAAAATTATAATATTGGAGTATTATTATCAACCAAAATTTTCTAACAAAAACCAATTGCGAACGTTGATAATTTTRTGAGTTTAACTTAGTACCCATAACGCGGATAAATCATTCAAAAGGTCACACTACTCCTGATGCGTCACATATTAAAAGGGGGAAACTAAATATGATCAGAGTCCAACGGGATTGCTTCAATATCACAGGTTTAGTGCTATATGAGCTTCTTGGGAATTATAAATTACAATCATATAATATAAATGAAAGTTAACAGGGTGTATACTGTACATATCCCTCGGGGCACAAGTAAAATGACAGGTTCCAATTACCCCTACCAAAAAAAGGCATTCACATAATACAGTTCAAAATTTATTATTTTTAAAGGTTAAATATATTATTACAATTTTTAACAACAAAATAATATGCAATGTACATCACTGCATAATCTGCAGTTATTTACAGTTTTTTATTTTAAATTAAAATATCATAAAATTAAAACGATCGTATAATGTATATATAAATAATATTAATGTTAAACTTATTCTTATTTATATATATATATATATATATATATATATATAAATACTCTTGGCAATATAATGGACCATTGTTATTAAAATATTTTAAATATAAATATGTACCTAATAGTCACAGAACGATTTTTCAATTGGTTCCAACGCTGATTCATTTCTTCTAATCGTCTTTGAAGCATTACCGCATCTTCCTGTGACGACAGACTTCCTAGAAGTTTTCTTCCACTAGTATCAAGCGAGTTTAATGATTGACTTTTCGTTTCCATTTCTTGCTGTAATTCCTGTTGATAAAATAAATGAGTTAATTTTATAAAAAATACATAACATGTTCCCTGTTAGTCAAATGTTATAGAATACTATTTAAAATATCTGAATTAATCAAAACCGTATCAATAAACAAATCATAATTGAAGTATGTATAACCTTACGTAGGTTTGTAATTCATCTGCGAATGATTTGTGCATTTGATGATTTTATAATTTAATATTAATGGGATATAATATAACATCTGCCGGATAAAGTGTAAATAATATAAACTACAGTTAATTGAGAATGCATTATGTAATTGGATTACAGACGGTAATGATTGCGTTATGAGTGAAAGAGCAATAATGCATCTGTTAAATTCCTCATCTTCATTAAAGTTGTCGTCGTACCACATATACCCGAGGGGAGATATTTTRCCAGTAATAGTGCCTACTGCCTAGTTGGATAAAATAGTAAGTTGTTTTCAGATATGAACATTTTGAATTTCTACACGGACGCAAAGTCAATTGAATAAACATCAATTTATTATGTCGATCACGCAGAAAATATAAACTAGCGAGTGGTAAAGAAAACAAGCCACAAAATAGGGCTAATTAAATTTTAACTCGTCGTTGCCGCTATACAACGCAGTATTCTCACGAGAGTCATAAGGTTCCTCGAAAATCCTTTCTATGCAAACATTTTCTCTTGTTATTTACGCCCGTAATTTTTCATTATTTTTACTTGTAGTTTTATGTTTAACAAACACATACGACATGTTAAATTATGAAATTTGTGTTAACATCAAAATATTCTTTGTACCAACAGCGACAAAAGAATAAATAAAAATAATATGACATACATCGTTGACCGTAGTATAATCATACACAGCAATGAAAAAAAAACTACTCTAAGATTTTATTTTAGGTAGGTAGGTACGCAAAGTTTACGTTATTTATCCACGCAAGCCATAGTCACACATAGATTTTGTGAGAGACTGGACTTAAATTGAGTTAAGTGTAATAAAATCACGTGGACAAATTAAAAATGTTAATTAATATCAAAATTAGGGACCTACATTTATAATTGGTTAGCAAAAAGTATATGAAAATAATGAAATTATTTCTCAAGCTTAGCTGGGAAGTATTTAAACTCATCTTGTTAACGTACGTTTGCACTAATCGTGACTTTACACTGTACAGACTACAGGTATGCGTATGTCAGTTTGGTTTTATCTACATTATACAAATAACCACTTTTATATAAATTAATACAATTATCAATAACCACATTGTTATAGATATATTACAGGAACGGAGCTAGGATTTTCCCCGGGCAATAATTACATATTATCCAAACTAACTWATCTCTGAACAGTATAAAATATCATTTAAGAAATGCGGGGCCTTAATTATAATTTGAAAATCGCGGGGCCCRGGGCAACTCCCCCGATTGCCACCCCCCTCGCGCCATCCCTGAGATATAACAGTTATAATTTTAATTTAAGCCATTTTCATAACTCAATATATTTAATATTCAGCCATATTTATCATTTAAAAATATTAGGTACATTGTATTATAAGTATATTAAAAATGCATTGAGACCACACTAAAAAAAACCTAATAATCTATTATTTGCAATCAAAATAACTATGAACTTGAATAAAATTTTTTTATACATTTATACAAAATGTATTTTTATGTTTGTTACGCACCAAATAACGTTTATACATTTACATGGTGAGGATTGTCCTACTGGACGCGACGTGTATTTTTCGTACGAGATACAGCAGTATATTCAGATCCCTCCACATCATATTTTTGGMCCTGGTACAGATTAAATCTGGGTCCTGAACGTTTTTCTAATACATATATTGAAGTAATTATTTGCATGAACGATAGGCTTCAGTACGTACTATGGGTCTTTTTTATACCATCCTCTTGTGGGGCTCTGAGTATATTATGTAGAAATGATTTTTGATACCTAACAATGTTAATATCCAATAGTTGGTGTACAGATCAGATTACTAATATATACTTTAATAACTATATAGTATATACTAACTAGTTACTTAAATTCAACTAATTTTTCAAAACTAGTTAGTTATAACTCATAAGATGTATGCATTGCAATTTTTGTAGAGTAGTTTACACAGGTAATTAAAAAGGAACTCGTGTAGTATTATTTCTTATACTATAAGAAATGTTAAGAATTTAATTAATAACTGCATATTTTATAAATTTTATACTATTTACCATATAACTAACTAATAACTAACTAATAACAAGAATCATAAAACATAATCGCATAATACTAGCATTACTAGCACTTTATAATAAACTACACACCTTTATAAAGATTCCAATAGAAAAATACAAATATGAAAATAAATCAGGGGTTCGTACACAAATTAAAACGATAACCGTAACGTTAATGTTTAAGTATCTAAACAAAATGGTTAGGAAAACAGGATTCATAAGAAACTTATAATAAATATCAATAATATGAATGACAATTTCAGTTTAATTAATAAGATAGCATAAAAAAATGTCATAGATTTTTAAAATTACAGCAAAAACGATAAAACTATATCAAATTAGTACAATTTTAATATAAAATAATATTACACATGTTTTCGAAACACCCAAAACTCAAGTTAAAATGTATTTTCCTAGCATGTAACCAAAATACTAAAAAAGTATTAGTACCAGCATTCATGATTTTGGGTAGGTTCAAAGTTTTGAAATTGATTGATTTGTTTTAACCATATACCTCAGATATTTCTATATAGAGTAGAGTTGAATTATTATAGATTATAGAAAAAAAATGAAAGACATAACCATAAGAGTATAAGTTATATTGACAGATGTGCTAAACACCAAAATTATAATAAAGCTTATCTTGCAAACACAACCTTTAATAATGAAACACTGTGAAATCCCGTTCATTGTACATAAAAAACAACGTTTAATACAAGAGTTTAAAACAATGAGGTCAGATGCTCTTGTTGAGAGACCTCTTGTTCGCTTCTGGCATTGATTAAAAAAAATTCAGCTTACAATTATAGAAAAACGCAGAGACAAGCGAACACAAGCTTAAAGTGCATTGTTTTATAGAATTGGGCTCGTATATTTCCCCCTATGCATGGTACAGTATAATATACTATAAACTATATAGTATTATATGTATGTGGGCTATACATTTCCGAAGTACTTCAACAGATATTAAGTCAATCCTGAAATGTTTTACTTTAAGAATTATATTTTTATTGACCTACGAATAATTTTTTAATTTACGTGCAAATATACATAGTACAAATCTATATAGAGAAAGAAAAGCTTAATATAATACGACCGACACAAATAATAATAAAATATCAAATTATAAAATGAATATCATGTTTAACACACTCAATGACAAACTGTGTCAAGTATTATTATTGAGTATTCTAATTAATAATACCAAAAATTATCGGAGAGCTATTATGATAAACATTTTGGAGTACGAGTACTAAAGTTATATGCACTAACTAATGCATATATAGGATAAATTATTATTATTATAAGAACGAAATACGTATAATTTCCAGCCTTACACTCGTATAATATAACAATAACAAAATAATCAATCACGATAATCCCGTATATCAATCATTTTGATCCCTATATCTAAGTCAAGTATAACAAGAGGATTTCAATCAGATTTGACAATATTACGATGCTGTTAAAAATAGTTTTGGTAACGTTTYTATCCAACAAAACATATTTCATAATGATATAGCTTTTTTTTTTAGTATCATACCAAAATTTAACAATGATATTTGAAGAATAAGATTTTTATTGATAGAATACTGTTTTTTTTTCGCAAAATCTAAAATACAGTTCCAATAAAAAATAGATGCAGCATAACACCGAATATATTACTTATAATAAATTCAAAACATATGTATTTTAATGATCTACCTTTTTGTAATAAAAAAAGTTAACCCTTAGGGCCTTAGGTTATTTATGATTTAAAACAGATTTCTGTAAATAAATTAGAAATGTATCCAATCACTACTATGTTGCCGTAATAAGTAATACCTAATAATTTAAAGTGACAAATTGATGAGTATCATTAACTATACAAGCTTAATATTTTAACTAAATCATAAATATATATGTTTGATTTATRTCATACATAGATCTAAATATGCGGAAGAAAAGCTAATGTAAAAACTAAAACTAATTACCGTTATTTTAAATAATTTAAATAAATCAATTTTTATTTTTGTTTTAGCAATTAATCAAATAGGATTTAATGACTTTTTTTGTTGCCGAAGRGCTCACCAGATTCGGAGTCAACTATAGGTACAAACCACATAATGAATAATGGACACTATCAAGCTGCAAAGTTTTGTCATCTTTAAAAAATAACTACATCAAGCTCCGTGGAAGGGCTCGAAGTTGAGAAATACAACTAGATAGACTAAATATTTCATTGGGACAGGTATACGGAAAAGGGAAATAGTTTTTTTTACAACATAATTTATACATATATTATATATATATATATATATGTTCATGTGTGTGTGTTTCCCTGACATGATTTCCCGACGAAACGTGAAAATGCTTTCAGACCAAGCGGCCAAACGATATGTATTATGCAAATCTAACCTAGAAGGGCAAATGATTTGGAAGTAGAGCACAAGTCGAAAGTACCTACTACTTATATTATATGTATATACTATATACTTTCATAGTAAACGTTTTATTGGGTTWGAAATTTAATATTTTTATTCGTTCCTATTTTCAATATGAGATAAAATCGAATAAAAAAAAAAAAAACCATTGCAAATATTCAAAAATTCTTATCCAAAAAAATAACTCTGTACCTATAATATATAGGTTATATATAGACAATATTATAGTAATGTAATTATTTAAAACCACATTCATCTAACCGCCGCGCCGCAATAATTGCGCACAACATGTGTACACACATAAATATATAAATCTGTTGAAATACAATATATATAGGCTGCTGCTTAGTGGT